ACTTCGATTTTTTCAACCTTTGGGGGTGTTCTAACGATCTTCGACAAGCCCAGCTGGCAGGGTAAAAGAAGGATAGGATAATTCCAGCTACGGTCTTCTCCCATTCTCACGCCTCGCTCAAGGGTGGTAGGCCGATCGTCACAACCGATAAAGAAGAAATTCAACGAGGGGTTACGAGTAGGTTAAGCCATACGCTTATAACACGCGTCCTACCGTGCTCAGCGTCTGGCAAATGGGCCGCTCGCAGATCGAAGAAGCCGGCCAGTTATTACGGCGAGGGGCACAAGTCGCCAGGAAGGTGTTTAATAGCCCACCAAGAGTACAATCGCCCTCCAAGGTTTTGGTGCGCGGTGTGCACTTTACATACATTTGCATCCTACCAATGCAAATCCGACATCAATCTAGTAGCTAGCTATGCAGCGTGACTGCGCTCCAAGGTGTCTCTATCTTGGCGGACAGACTCTTTTAACCAGTAAACCTTGATTACACTGTTTTCGCTGCACGTAACACACTAAACGTTTCCTTTCGACACGTTGCTTCTTTTTAGTCTTTTTCAACAATTTCTGAAAAGTTCGCGAGAGAAGTTGGTTGTTCGAGTACGATTGTAAACGCTTTCGCTTGGGGACAACGTTTGGGCACAGTGTATACGATCTGTGATCATCTAAGTTTGTAATTTGGGACAGATTTGCAAGGTTAGTCGTATTCGATGTTAATTATCCTCTGTGTTTGTTGTAATAGTGAGATACACGTGTACATCGAGGCTGAATTCCTTTATTTACTTTTTTTGTTTCTATTCTCTTTCATCGATTGCGGATACAAGTTGCCATTCAATTCTTTTGAAAACTTCTAGTTTAAATTAAGTATTGTGTTGGTGCAAATGACATGTTTTTTCAGCAGCTGAAAGTGGTGGGTCGATACTGTATATTAAATTTTGTCCGATCGTAAATTTTCACATATAATAGTCAAGAAGAATGAATTTACTGCAGTGCACGTGTATCTAGAACAATTGTTCGAACATTCTTATCTAACGTGATGAATAACGGGGATGAGTTAAAACTTGACAAAACTGCTGAAATATAAATTTAGCATTGGAAGAAAGTTATGTAAATGTTAGGACATTTCAACGTTGGTGTGCAAAACTTTAAATTTGTGACTCTTTGCTGGAAAATAGGGCAAGAAGAAGGCCAAACAGGACTGTCGATGATAATGTTTTAATAAAAATTATTGAAAACTATTTACTGGACTTCTCCCCAACGGTCTACCATTTCTTCAAACACCTGAGTAATTTGTGTAACAAATAAATTATTCCGAAATTAAAACAAAGGCTAATGATTTTTACATATATGAAATAATAAATCTAGTTAATCATTGGGAAAAGTGTATAGAAGTGACGTTTATCTAATAAAATGCACCTAATTAAGTAGATGAATTTGTCACTAAAAAACACACAATCTCTATATTTAATCCATTCCTCTATTTCTAATCATTTCCGAGATACTGGACCAAATATGTCTTGACACCCCAAATTTGACCTGTGTTTTCTCCCCCTCAACATGAATGATGGCCTGTAGGAAAAGATCCGTGTCAACTGTTTTTTTCGAGGACAACTTACGTACGTGAATTTATCAAAATCGGTGAGTGACACTTGAGAACGTTCCCTTGACTTGCAAATGTTGTACTTTAACAGACGATGCAACATACTCATGGGGGTACCGCTAAACTTTCGTGCGATTCTGCTGCGGTAACGTGATTTTCATGTTTTTCCGCGCAGCAATATGGTCTCTTCGTTTTAGATTTATAGCAGGTAATATCATACTTTAGAAGAAAACATTTCCTTCATCTATCTTTTTGGGAATGTAGCCTCTTTGTCTCTCTATGTGCAACAACGTGTCCTTTTCTGTTTCGTCTAGGCTATAAGCTCCCTCCATTTTTTCCCGCGGTAACTACAAATTGCTGAACGTGATCGAGTAATTGGAAAGCGCTAAAGACGAAATGTCTTTGATCAGCCAATATATTTAGTCCTTACTGAGGAATTATACATCCTACAGAAACAAATTGCTGGAATGATCCTGCAACAGTCGCCCAGGCTTCCTCCTACCCGTCAATACGATAAATTGCAATAAATATAATACTTCACGAATAATCTATAGAAAGACGCTTCAGGAAAATGTTACATCTAAATAGTCTACTTTCTTTGCGGATACATCTAGTTTATTTCATCCTAAGATCGAAGTATTAACACCGTTGCAATTTCACTGCTTGCAGCATCGAAAGAAGAAACCTTAACGCAGTAATGTCTCAATAGCTTCTTGCAAAATTGCTTATTTCTAAACACTCGAAACTGGCGAACGATTACTATAATGTGTAAAAAATTAAATATTTTATAAACAGTTTTTTAAAATTACAAATAAAAATTAAATGTAAATTAAAATTCTCTATAATTGTCTTTTCACTTGAATAAAAAGGTCGTCAATTTAACTGTTTAAAAATTGAGGAAAAAAGCTGAAAGTTACATTTGTATCTTCAGAAAACATTGAAACTGTTCGTTCAGTAGTTACCAGTAAAAAAAAATTCCCACACTTTACCTATTTTCAAACGCCCCAGGGTGATGTACTCCCATGATACCGTGCAAAATAGATTTATGCGAGTCCTGTTATAATTTATATTTACCATTCGCTATAGTATAATTTAACTTGAAGCCAATGTTTAGAAATGTGGTCTGATTATTTATCTTTAAATTTTTCATATTTATCGCAAAATAAAACCATCAAAATGACCTCCCACGGTTAAAGACAACAGTTCCCTCTAACTCATAATACTTTTACACCGCTGGTAATTAACTTCCATCCGCATTAAGCGGTCTAATCTGTAACGGAAACGCTGCAACTCCTCTAGCACAGTGTTCTCGTTATAGAACATACGGCCGGCATTAAACCGTGAATCTTTAATTGAACTACAGCCTAATCCTATACGCTGAAATAATCAAGGATTAAATATCGGTGTCTTGTAGTGGCAATCACGGACCTCCAGCAACACTATGGTGGGTGAGGAGACGACCATAGTTGGTAAAGTTTGACAAGTTGGCGGTAACAGGAACGCGGGTACCATGTGCCAAGAAAGTTCCGAGGAAGGATCCGGTGATGCATGACCGCGGAAGAAGGATGCCCCTGCCAGTTCCTCGTGCTTAGGCGAATTTCGCAAGGAGTTCAAGGTGTTGCAGGACGGTAGAGTTTCCGGACACGCACAATACAAATTCACGTGCAATCTTGGACGTATCATTTGCTTGTAAATCTTTGCTGTAACAGCGTGTCTATTCACCAAGAGTTCTCTCTCACTTACACTGGTCAAAGAGTAAAACGAACGAGAGTTGAATTTTCTAAGAAAATTCGACTGGCTGCAAGGATGGAAATATTGCAATTCTTTGCGTGTGATAGAACGACCACCGTTAAACACAATGAAAACATTAGCTAGCTTTTGAAACAGGTTCTTATTACTTATGTGACTCTCTGTCACGTCTCTTGGTTGCAATTTAGATGTCCAGCATCGAGAAATATTGATCGATCGTCGAGCAGCAAAGATGACCAGTGTTATGGATTTGTAATTGACGAAATGCAATAAGTCTTCAAATTTTTTTGTTTATAAACAAAATAAATGAACTTGAAACTTCGAACAGGTTTTTCTCAAAACGATATTTTCTAAATTAGTTGCACGATTTTCTCGGCCAATTTTAAACGAAGCAACTCCTATTTTTCACGTACGTAAGCGTAAGGAACTTTTAAAAAAGTAACATTTACTATTTTTTTCATGTCAAAATATACTAATTTTTTATCAAAATTTAAAAACTTTCTGTTTCAAGATCTGCCATTTTTCTAAAAATTATTATAATTTAATTTCCATATGCTTAAGTGAAACTATATACATTAGTATAGATATGGATAGAAATGTTTCCCCTAAATGAACTAAAGGTGAACACAGTGGAAAACCATGAGCTTCTGTTCGACGCGCAATATTCTACAGAAATCTCTATAATGTGATTAAACACGTATATATAGCAATAAAAAAATTCTCCAATATTACCCAATATATGCACATTTAAACCCCCAGACAATAATACTTCAACAAAGTATATATGTCTCAAAAATAATTCACAAAAAACGTGCTTTTTCTCGGGTTTCAAAGTATTGCTGAATTGCGAAACATTTTACATTATAAATGTAACATGAAGAATAAACTACCTAACGCGTGATTCTCCATTACTAAATACCACTTCACTTCTTCGGCTTACGTACAAAATAATAGTTGCCTAAAAGTTTGTCCAGAAAGACGTTCAAAAGTTTATTACTTACATTCTTAACGCTTCGTCAAAAAACTTCAAATAGAAATTTGCAAACACATCCTCTTAATTTCTGGCGCCCCTCTAAAGGCAATACCATCGAAATAATTTAACCCTTTCGTTTAAGAGATAAATTTAAAATCCATCGTTTATAAATTCCTTTTATTAAATTAAGGTAAAAGTGCGCAAAGGACAAAAATTAGGGACTAAATTAAGGTAAAAGTGTGCCAGAAGAATCCAAGGGCACAGCGCGAGCAATATTCAAAAAGCCTATAGGCGCGCCAAGGTTACAGTGCGCCTATAGGCGCCAAGAACACAGTGTGAGCAAATTTGCAAAACGCCTGTAGGCGCCAACAGCGGTGAAAGGGTGAAATTACAATGGGGATTATCAATAAACTTAGTCTGGACCATTTACAATCATCGTTAACCCTTTCAGGTTCAGCGATTTTTAAGGAGCATTTGCTAAAAAGCTCAAAATATTTTCGTAACAAAAACACTGAAATCTACCTGTTACTTACCACCTTGCCAATGCAGCTATAGCAGGAAATAGAAGGCGATAACGATAACTTGTCAAGACGAAGATTTTCGCAAGTGACAAGTGTAACGATAGATCGCTACCTTCAGCCTAAAAGGGTTAAACAGAAAGTTAAAGTTGTTAACTCTTTACCGACTACTTCGAGGTATCCAGTGTTGCTGGACATCGGGTCGGTGTTCACTTGGCACATGTACCATCCTCCGTCCGATTCCTTGGTGTCCTTAATGTGAAGGGACCACGCGCGATGACCGCTATGCGTCACAGCGATTCGATGATTCTTCGTAATAACGTGATTTGCGATAGTGAGAATCGTTTGTGTGTCCACATGCAGCCACGCCACCTGTGAAATAAAAGAAACGAAATATTTTTATACACGCGCTGTCATCGCGATGGAACTGAGAAACCGCATCGGTGAACGCATCTTCTGTCGTAAATAAGAACGAATCTCCTGAAAGGCAATTTAATTCGAAACGTGTTTACTATTTTTCTATTTTACGTTTTACAATTTTTCATTCCGAATTTGGAAAAGGCTCGTTCAAATTTTAAATGGCAAAGCGAATTACGTCACACTCTGTCAAAATTGTACTCGGTCAATAATTGCACAAATGCCGAAGTGTATTGGAAACAGTGGATCATACTTTAATTAATAAATACTGTTTTCCTAAAACTTTCGAAGTCGCAAACATTTTTCTGTTCAACGACAAAAATGTTTCCTATTTTCATCGATACCTCTGATAACTTATTATCCAGTATCATTTGTGTTGCTTATTCGAAAGAAGAAAAAAAAATAGCGAAGGAGGAAAGCAGGAAAGGAGGGAGAGGGAGAGATTCGTTTCATCCTGGACCTCCTAGTGGACTCGTGCTTCAAACACGGGAGACTCATGTCAGAAGTTGTATTTGTAGGAATAGGAGTCTTGTAGAGAACAGGAGACTTCTGAGAGTGGCTAAGTTTCGCCAGTCAGTCTGAGCATAGGAAGTGCCGTGACACGAGGTATCCTATAGAAGTCATTATATTCTATACAAGTTGAAAATTAATAGTTCGATTGATAAACCAAACGAACAAACTAAATATCAGCAAATGTCATTCGGTCCAAACACACGGGAGCGGATTCGACCGGACTTGTTTTGTCCTCCGCAGACAATTCAGTTAGCGATTTCGCTTTGCGCGATGCGACGAACGAAAAAAAAAAAAAAAAACACGAAAAAAAGAAAGAAGTAAAAAGGGTAAAAAATACGCCTACCAACGAGAAACACTCAAAGCGGTCTCAACAGCTTGCGATTGTCGACTGAATCAAAAGAAATAACAATTTGCCTGACCTAGATGTCGCTATGCACGCGTCTACAACACGGCCTTCTCTGTAAACACAAAGTAACGTATATGCATCATACAAAAATGTAGATTGACGTTTCTATTCCCTGCTGCTGTTTTATTCAATCCCCGCCACTTTCGCTTATGCCTAGGCTCAGTATTACTTTGAATACAAGCTCCCGTAAACAGTGCGCATTATCTCTCACGCTGTGGCCAAGACATTCCGTTAAAAGTATACCGTACCTCGCACCTTCAAACAGAGAGAGAGACAGATTTTGCCAGAACAAATCCGCGCGTGGGCTATATTTACAAACATGCTTGGTACACGAGCCTTCCGCTTTCTCCTCTGTCCTCCCTTCCTTTCGTTATTCCTTCTGGAACATTTCCTTTAACCACCTTCCTTCCCCAACCGGCCTTTCTGCAACCGCACCACTATTTCATCCTTTCCTTCGTGTTGTCGCGCACTACCTCTCATTGTCCAAGTGCTCCGACAATGTGCTCGACGTTACCAACTGTGCTCGTTACATAAAAAGGGAAAAACTTCCGCGCCAAACTCCGTAATACACTCGACGGTGTATTTTCTTTTTTTTTAAGCACACGTTTCTTGTCTCCGGGTTTCGCGGCCGCTCCGCCAAGTCCCGCGTATTTCCCGCCTGATTTCTTTCTCCAGAATAACCGCGCATCTCCACTTCATACACACACGCTGTATTCACGTTGGGCGGTGGTTGATGTAAGTATATAGGTTGGATGTAAGCGCGCCAGACCGCGTATCCGCGACTGCACACAGGCAGGTATACGGGCTTTATCTCGCGACGCATCAGGATCCTATGCAGCCGGTGGAGCTATAAGAAAAGAACGTTTCCGAAGGTTTCGCAAGATTCTTTAATAGAACGGGAGAAAGAGGCGCGAGGCAGACCGACACGTTAGAAAATACGTTCGAAAGGAGCGAGGGAGCGACAGGGGTTGAGGAGGGAGAGGCTGGCAACCCAGAAAAGGAAGAAAAGAACAAAGGAGGGAGGGAACTTGCAAATTGTGCACGCCGCTTGAATGTTAGCTGAATATAGTTTGCCAGGACTATTGTTTAGCGGATGGAAAATATTGGTACGTGGATGCGATGGTTTTTTGTTTAATGAAATGTCAGTTGAATTATTATTTTAACGGTGACGTGTACTGGATTCAAACCGGTATATTTACAAGTATGTGGTAGCTTTCGAATAAATTGTCGACGCGTATTTTTTTATACGGGCGATCGTTCACAACGACGGGGGGAAAATCGAACAAAAAATTGGAGGGGGTGAATGTGTTTAGTCTAATGTCTCGTAAACTATTAGAGATAGAGGAATTTTGTATTTTTCAACTATAATACAAATCTGGACGATTGTCGATAAAGAAAAATACGTGTCAAATGATTTTTTGAGTACTACCATATACCAAAGTTTCATCGATATCAGTGATTATTACTTCGGGCTGTTGCTTTGTTAGGGAAAACATGTTTCTGAAGTTCGAGAAAATCATAGGGCGAAAGAGAGAAAATTTTTAAATTCGTATGCAGATCTAGTGTTATAGAAACGTTACAGTTTTTAATACTAATAAGAACACCAAACAATTAATGACTATTTTACATATAGCGAGTATTTTAGATAATGACAATTTTTTGCATATTCTTCAGAAGTGTCAAAACATTTGCATCACTAACTGTGAACCTCTGTTGTTTACTTTAACTATTTCAAAATAAATAAATTAATACCTAAGGAGGTTAGACCACCCCTGAGACTTGAAAATGGCACCTGAATTTGGAAATTTTTTTTAAGAAAATAATGAACTCAATCGATAATTTATCATAAGAGCCTTCTTACACTATCGGTAAGGAATACAAAAGTATTGTTTCGTTTAATTTTTTTACAAAATGGCGTCGCTACAGCCGCATCGCTGAATCTTTATTTCGGACGAACGCCTCCACAGTATTGTCTCCTGCTGCCACTCGGTTTAACTTAGAAGAAAGAAAGTATTCGAAATTAGCATTTAAAATAAGAACTAAGTAAGTTTTATAGAAATGGTGAGCATATAAAAAAAGATTCGCATTTTGTCCCTAAAATTTTACTATAAAAATGTTAATTACAGGAAACATGTTCAATATATTGCAAAAATCCTACACACTTCTTTAGATTACATGACGGAGAGTATTTGGTAAAACTTTCAAGTGAATCGGATGAAAATTGTAAAAGTTGTGGACAACGCTAACTCTAAAAATCTCATTCTGAGAAAAACGCGTTTAAAGTTTCGATTACTGATTGACGGCGCGGTGACGCGCTTCATTAAATCAGCTCTAATGGCATAAAACCATTAAAATTTTTCATTAAAACTATTCTGATTATCCTTCTAAAAGAACAAACCATCAATTTAACCGAAAGAAGATTCAATTTTTTCAAACTTCAGTGACAGCCTAACGCCCTTAAACGAAATCTTCCTTTATCTTAAGCTCTCTTTCTAAGCTTAATATTTGAAACATTGCAGAAAAGATGAACTTGCTCGTGAAAACTTTATCGCTATCATTCAAATAACCATTACTCATCAAGTTATCGTTGCAAAGAGGTTCGCAAACACTCGACAAGATCTCTTTCGTTTAATTCGCATCAATATCAGCGCACCTTCGTTTTCATCGGTTGTACTTTTCTCTTCCATCTGATTTTCGTTAAGGTCAGATACTGATGATGTGCTTCCTTAATTTATCCGGATACTTCGAGTCTTCTGTTGGATTGCGCCACGGTGAAAAATGACCGGCAAAAGTTTCCCGCGGAAGAATAGACTGCGATAGTCTTGCAATAATCGCTCATCCTCTCTTCTTTGATTCCTTCCACTATCCTTTCTCGCTCGCGTGCGCCGTAATCAAGTTTTCCGATAATCAACGGGAAAACGAGCATTGGCTGTGAGTTTCAAGCGATCCTGAGCGATCGAGCAGCTGTCGATGTTCTGCTCGGAGTTTTCCTGTCGTGGTCGTGCTATTACGCTCGATATTTATGTTTGGAAGGACGGAAGCACGAGGGTGGATTAAAATTTCAAAGCTAAACTCCGGCCACGGCAAAGATTAATGCATATAACTTGCTCGAGTTGTTTCACTTAATTCAATCTTAACCTAAACTCTAATAAACTCGGATCTATATAGATAAGTTAGGCAACTCGAAACTAACTTATCTTATGTATTTCACTTGTACAGGCTGTTCCGTGACTGATGAAACAATCGCGAAGAGGGTGATTCTACGTGAAAGAATAAATCGAAAATGTAGAATGAAATTTGTTCGTACAAAAAGGCTCTTAACTGTAGTGCGTTCTTCCGTTTGACTATACTTTTACGGTCTTTGAGTCAAAAAAGACCCAAAGACTTTATGCGTAACAATTTTTGTTACCAGTACGCCATATGAACCTAGAAAATAAACATTTAATATAACGTTAAAGGAACACAGACTTGGTAACAGCAAAAGCTATTCAAAAAATAAGAAGGCAATGGGTCAAAAAAGACCCGAAGACCGCACTAGGGTTAAGGGAATTTAAAAATTCGCTACAAACTGTTGCTTCCGTTAATACTCTTATATTGACATACAACGATAGTGTCACATCTCGCAAAGAAACAGTCTGCGCAGAAGATATTGTAAATCCTCTGCAGCTAAAAGAAGGAATCGTCAAAGTTTTCAAGGAATTAAAGCGTCAAAATACTGTATCATCAGTCTACGATATTCTGATTCAACGAGCAAAAATTTCTATGCGTTAATTATTACATCTTATTTATATGCTCGCCGCGTAAATCAGATTTTTATTGACCCCACAACTTCTGAGCCTCGAGCCGTCACGCGAAAGGGGAAGTTCCTCGAACCCATACTTCATAATTTTTATAACACTTGAATACGTGTCTTTATTCTTCTTCGGGTTTAATATCGCATCGACAGCAGGGTCATTAGCGACAGGTGTGATTCGGTTCTTCTATATACCTTGTTACTTTTAGATTTTGTGATATATTTGGGTTTCACTTGAACATA